GACGCAAGCATTCGAGGGAGGCACTCCATCGCCACCGTGAAGAACCCAGTTTTAAACAAAGGGGAAGAACCAATTTCGTTCTCCTCTCTTTTGTAATCGAATTGTAATCGGAATCAAAGAAATACAAGTCAAATTTTCTTTATTCTTTTTCTACAATTTTCCCTACCAACAATTCCTCGTTTCTTTCATTGATCACTGCGGATGGAAGTGTTTCCAACGGGAAAGGATCGTCTCTGTTCCACCGGCGAGGTATTTGTTGCATTGTGTTGATGCCGTACTCTCCGAAAAAAACTGATTTGGTTTATCCCACTACGTTGAAGAAATTCCAGAAACCATAAAATGCTATACTTTATCAATAAGGTGCTATACTATTGCCATAAAGTGCTATACTTTGTCATAATGTGCTATACTTTATCAATAAAGTTCTATACATTTCTATAAATAGCTATACTTTTTCTAAAGCTGAAAAATTAAGCGACGACCTCTCGTCGATGTGAATAATTGATCAAGCAACACATTTTACACGTCATCAAGTGTTCGTATTGCGCCAAAAAAACTGATTTGGTTTATCCCACTACGTTGCAGAAATTCCAGAAATCAGAAATCATAAAGTATTATACTTTATCAATAAGGTGCTATACTATTGCCATAAAGTGCTATACTTTGCCATAAGGTGCTATACTTTATCAATAATGTGCTATACATTTCTATAAAGAGCTATACTTTTCCTAAAGCTGAAAAATTGAGCGACGACCTCTTGTTGAGGTGAAGAATTGATCAAGCAACACATCTTACACATCATCAATTGATCAAACAACACATCTTACATGTCATCACACGTTTGCGTTGCTCAAAAACGATACAATTTCAACTCTGAAACGATACAGTTTTAACAATAAGAACATAGTTACAGCGTGAAACAACAATTACACATCACCACTACAAAAGATCATCACAATATGTAACACTTTACTATAAAGAGTTGCACTTTTCCAAAATCAGAAAAATTGATTACAAGCTCACATGACATACATGTTAGACCCTAGAGGGGGGGGTGATTAGGTCTTATGCTAATCTAATCCGATTAAATGCCAATTAAAATTAATTAATACGTTATCCTAGCAAGTATGAAATACAACAAGATATGTAAGCTAGGATAAGCAATATGAACAAATGAATATATCCTATCAATGAGATATTACAAGTATATGAGCAAGGATATATAAACTCAAGGGTAAACAATCTAAACTAGATAGTGGGCAATATAATCAACAAGCAATATACAAAGGCGAGATATGAACATAAAGGTAAGTGCGGAGTTCGGACCTTCCGTCCTACGTCTCCGCTCCCCACTCCCGGGGAGAAATCCACTAACACAATCCGGTTTGAAAGCCGGAACCTCTTCTACACACTCGGTTTTCTAGCTAACCGAAAACTCTTCAACTCACACTCTTGCAATCACACTCTACACTCACTAAGTATTGGACCTAGCCGTGTCTCCCTCAAGTGCTCGGTTACAACCTCTCTCTAGGCACGTCAACCGACGCCACTCCTCTTGGGACGATCCCCGACTCTCACCACACACTCCTCTCGGTGTACAAGTGTATTACAAAGTGAATCTCACAATTAGGCTAAAAAATACAACAAGATTGTTCTCTAAACAAGATGAGAACTCAATTACACAACCTAATTATACAATGTATGCAAATACAATAAGCTCAATGGTTGTGTGTGTACAAAGAGATAAATAAAATCAACTAAACTCAATATAAACACTAGCTTAATAAAATGATAATCAAACAATAAAATGTAAAGCTAGATTGAGTTTAGAAAACTTCTCCAATAAATGACAAGAGTGAGAGAGAGATGAGTTGAATGCCCAAACACCAAAGGATGATCTCCTCTTTGCTCTTGTGAAATTTGCTTCACAAACTAAACTCACATAAGCTCTTAAACCCTTTTTAAAACCCTTGTTAAAAACTTCTTAGCTCACTAAAAACTGAGATCAAAGAGGGTCTCTTAAACCCTTTTTAAAACCCTTGTTAAAAACTTCTTAGCTCACTAAAAACTGAGATCAAAGAGGGTTTTTATAGCCTCCAAAACCTCAGACCAAAACCCCTTACAAAAAGACCAAAAAACCATCTGCAACGGTTCTAAAAAGAGTCGTTGGGACTCCAGCGGTCGACCGATGAAAATCACGGTCGACCACGAACAAGGTCAGAAACTCAGGAGACATCCAGAGAGTTCGTCGGTCAACCGGCGGAAAATTTCGGTCGACCGGCGGTACTGTAGCAGGTATATCCGATTTTATAAAATCGGTTAAAAATAGTAAACCTGCTCCAAAAATTATGAAATTTTGAGGGAATGTTCTAGACATGTATAAAAACATGTTAGAGAAAGTATTTCTAAAACATCATTTACCAGTTGAGAGAAATAAATGTTTGAACATAGAAATACAGTTTCTGAAAATCTGCTGTGATACACGATTTTGTAAAATCAATTAGGCACAGTAAATCAACTCCAAAAATAGTAAAATTTTGAGAAAAGTTTATAAACATGTAGATAAACATGTCAAAGAAATAATTTCTTGAATATCATTTTCCATTTATGAAAACTCATCTATTTTGTAAAACATGCACGAACATGCACGAATGAAAATTATGATTTTGTAAATTCCATTAAACATAACAAATCAATTCCAAACTTGATGAAACTTTACGAAATGTTTATAAACATGAAAACAAACATGTTAGAAAAAGAATTTCTCAATTTGCATTTATAATTTGTGAAAAACACTGTATTCTGCAAAAGCACTAAAAGACGTATATATGAAAAACATGTGATTGTTATTTTCGGATGAAGCTTTAACTTGGATCTTGAACTTTGAATAGAAAGGCTTCACCGACATTCCGCCAACCTCTTTTGGATATGATCGTTGAAGCTCTATTCCATCCATCCTCCAACAACGTTGTTTGTCTACAAAACATAGGAATGCACAAACACTAAACAAACAATATTAGTGGTAAATTATTTGTTAAACATCATCAAAACAAGAAGGCCAACAATACATCAGAGAACACTAAGCGTAAATTCAACGAACAGGTGGTGGGCGACGACAAGTGATTCAGATCCTTGCCTGCCTCCATGTCGGCGAACTGGGGGGAGTCGATGTCGAAACCGTTGGTGGGTTGTTCATCCGATTCGAGGTTGATGGTGGTGGGTGACGTGGCGGCGAGGGGAGATAAAGGGCAACAGAGGGAGAGGTTGATGGGTTTGAGGGAGGAGGGGAAGTGAAGGAAGGGGAGAGGAGGAGGTTGGTGGTGGTCATTGAAGGAGAAGAGGAAGGAAGAAGAGAGCTTGTGTAGTGAATTTGAGGGTAAATACAGTAATAATGGGTGTATTATACATATTGTGTTTAGAAATAAGTGGGGTAGGATATAATGGGTGTATTGATGTTTGGAAAAGTTAATGGGTTTTTAAATAAGTGGGGGTAAAATTTTGGGTTAAAAAAGAAAAACCCCTAAATGTTAAAACAATTGTGATCACTTGTCGTCCTACAACTAGTGACGTCTGTTTTAGTATATAGTAATCGATAATGATAATTGATTGATAATAGATTGGATCATGGTAAGTAAACTTGAGGAAATGGGTTAGTCCTATTGGAAACCTTAGGAAGCATGGCCAGGCAACTGGCACGCCAAACTACAAACTCTACCTTAACGCAGCCTTATCCTGATCTGTCTCCTTCATACGCACCTTATTCGAAAATCCATTTGCATTCTGGCCTGAGATTAGTACGTGATAATGAGACCAGTTGGTGGCAACAACACAAAAATGGAAATCACATACGTTTAGGTTGAAGCTGATCCTTTTTCC